CCACGATGCCTCATGAGGCCTCAGATTTTTTTTTTTTTTTGTCCCGTGAGCCCCCTTTGGACTCATTTTGTCGCGATTGCCTCTCTCCTAAGATCTCAGTTCCCAAGAAAGGGCACTCTTTTTCTTCTTTATGTCATCTAGGATGCCTCCCCAAGACCTTCCTTGCGCTCCCCAGAATTTTAGTAGGACTTTACCTGCCTTTTGATCTCTCTAATCCCTTTGAGCCTTATGCAACCCCTCTGCTCCCGGTCACCGTGCCTCCGGAGACCTTCTGCAAGTAAGCACTACAGCCCCATTTTAGCTCCGTACTGGACTTTGATCCTCTCTCATTCCCTTAGAAACCTATCCTCAGGTTTGTTTTTGCCTCGGAGAGCTCTTATCGTCCTCTCTCCCATCTAGGTGTCTCCGTGCAGTCCCTGGCCTCCCTAGGACTTCCATACTCCTTTCAAATCCCCTCCAGACTTTCTTCTTGCATCCCCAAGCCACCTTTGGCGTCTTAGGCTCAACTGGGACAGCTGTAACAGTGTCGCAATGCCTTTGAGGTTGCCCTGAGCAGATTGTTATCTTTTTCGTGGGTCTCACGTACCTCTCGTTCCCTCAGAGGACTTCTGGAGTTCATATTTGTGACCCGGCACGGTCAGCGGCCTCTCTTCCCTCTAGCTGTGCCTCTATTCATTCCCCAGACCTTCGATGGGATGTTGGCTCGTAATGTAATTGTCCCGTCCCCGATCTTCTCTTCGTCTCTTCAGGTCCCTTGGAACAGGTCTTCTCCCGGTTGTATTAGTGATGGGAATAACTGCTTGTGTTAGTGAAAAACTACTTTTTGATCTGTAGACTGTATCCGATGGAGTAAGTCTCTATTGTTTGTGCCTCTGTGTGCGTGGCTACTGCGCAGGACCCTATTATTATTTAATCTGTTCAGTTATGCTTTAACCTTCAGTAATGTAACAACTGAGAGTTGGAGCATAACTGATAAAGATTAGAGGAAGCAAGCAGCAAAACAGACCTCTACCCACGCTTACCCACACTATGAAATTGGGCTGTATGCCACTAAAACCACAAAGGACATTGCTGGGTAGGTGATGAAGAGGAGGAAGGGTGAAGTCACGACCTTCGGGGGTCCAAGACGACCAGCTTTTCTGTTACAGCGCAAGTGGTGCTTTTACATTACATCATTCAGGGCGTGCTTTGCCCACCTCCTGGCACATACTGGCCCTGCATGGCAGGATACAAAGGGTATATAATTAACCCAGACCTGCAACACAGCATGGCGACCAATTCTGGCCAACATTGTCATTGTGGAGACATCCGCTAAGTATTGGTGCCTCGCCATCTTGAAGTCCAGACTATGCTCCATTGTGTGCTACCACATCCAGTGGGGTTGATGGCATGTGTGTAAGTATGCTTTTGTTGTGCTAAGTAACAACTTGCTTTTGCTATTTTAGTATAATTAATAAATCATTTATGTATCTATATATATCTCTATATATCTATCTAACAGTGTACATATGTGTATTTTTCCTACCGCACCTTATCCTTTACGAACCTTTAACGGGAACACCGGTCACGACGCCTCCCAAGACCTTCCTCGTGCTCTGTTTCTATCTCGTAGCATGTTAGGTGGGGCCGTCTGAGCCTCAGAATGCTCATTTGTTCCTCTATTCCACGTAGCATTCCTGTGTTTGATCACAACCCTCCAAGATCATCTGTATCGCGCTTAGATGATTCCCGGAGTTCCTCCTTGAGGTTCCAAAGCCTTCTTTTGTATGTCGGTCCCCCTCGATGCTCGTCTCCTCATGGTCACGCCGCCTCCCAAGAGCACCGTCGATCTCCATGGCACCTAGTAGCGCCCATTCTCCTTGTGTCTCATTCTGTCAGAGACTCCATTCTTTCTTTGCTACGCAGCGCTCCTTTATCTTTCTCGGTGCCATCGAGGGTGTCTCCATTTTGTTGTTTTCTTGCTCGGTCATCTGTAGTTCACCTAGATGCTGACCCGAGACTCCGAGGTTCTCGCTGCATCTCCCAGCCTTTTTTTCCTACCCTGCCACCTTCCCGCTTCCTCTACTCTCTTCTACAACGTCTTCTCGGTCCTTTCTTGTGCTCCACAGTACTCTCATAGCCCTTTAGTTCCCTTTCCATTGTATTTGTTTGCGCTCTTCAGGACGCTCTTCTCTTACCATTTGCTGTTTAGCGTGCCTTCACTCAGGCCCGGCTCCCCAGCAACATCTGTACTTTGTGGAAATCCCCTTCATGGTTCCTCATCGTTATCTCCGAGGCTCATTTAGTTTCTCTGGCCCACTCGGGACTCCTCCGCTCCCTTTGCTGAGCTCTCGTGAGGGCACTTTGCGCTACCGTTTTCTCACATTTGCCTCCTTTATCCCAATCGGTCTTTCCATCCTCTCATCTGTTTGGCGTGCCTCTGTTCCATCTCTACCCCCCTGAGGAAGTTGGTACTACGTTCAATTCCCTTTTGCACTCGCTGCATCGCCAAGAATTCTTTGGTCTCTCTGAGCCCTTCAGGGCCTCTTTAATCCTCGTGATGACACCTCTTGTTTTGTCAGAACTTTTTCCTAAGCCATCTTTGTGCTCCAGAGCAGTCTTTCTGTTTTCCATCTTATCGTATGTTTCTGTTTGGTATCCAGTACTCCAAAGATGTCTATCATCAGCTCAGATCTCCTCTTGAGTTTTTCAGAGAAGACAATACCCTTCATCTAGGATCGACACATCTCCTGTGTTTTTTTTCTTGTTGCGCTTTGCAGTTTACTTTTGTTCTTGCTATCTTAGGTGTTAATTAGGCCGCTTCATAAAGTTTCTGATATGTTTCTTGCAAGTCCCTCTTTTTTTTGGTGTTTGCTGTCCTTTGGGACTCTTAAGGGAGTTAGTCGGAGAGACCATCAAGGTGACTGTGAACTGTTGGCGAGTTTCAATAAAGAACTTATACAACAAGCAGAGATATTTTTGAGCAGGGATTCTCATAAGATCTACCTCCGCTGTGTCATTTAGTTCTAGCCACGGTATAATTCCGATAGAAGCGAGATAATGTGCGTGGTCTCTGTAGAAATGAAGCTCAACCCAGAGCATTTTGGTTTCTTTGTTGGAAACTAGAGGACATCATTATCGATAAGAGTATTGTTATTGCATTTAATGAACTATTTTCTAACAAAGCCTAATAAAAAACCTATTTTTTTATATCTATAGCCTGGAAAAATTAAGCGTAACTCCCTATGTGGTCACCTTGCTGACGCAATAGGCGTAGTAAAAGAGCATGTAATGATTTCCAGTAAAAGTTGCTTTCTCCGTCGAGTGCTTCACGTGCTAGTCACTTAAGGTAGATGAGAAGTCCCTGTTGCTCTTCTGGCTGACTTTATGCCTTCTGGTGGTTGGCCCCTCCCCTTTCCCACGGGATTGTGGGTGGGGTGGTGGGCGGGGATGGGCTATAAGAGCCCCAGCCTCTCCTCAGAGAGCTCATTCAACTCCTGGCTTTCTCTGGTGTCAGTACTCTCCTGTTCCTTCGGATAAAAGCAGCTTTTGAGCTATCTGATCTCTTTGGACAGATGAGTTTTGACCTTTAGAGGAGCACAGTCATTTGAGGTAAGAGTTTCAGGACCGATCAAGGTTCAGCAGCATAGGTAGTAGAAAGAGCACTTGTGTGTAACTTTTTTAATTTTCACATTAATGATTTTGTATGGAGCATTCAGGGGAGGTGACGTAGTTTAATAAAGTATATTTATTTATTGTTTACCTTTAATTCTAGGTGCATTGCACATTCATGGATTTTTTCAGTTTATTGAAGATTTTATTGAAGATGGATCTTTGTTTTTTTCCCTTAGGTGTGTTGTAATCTGTGGAAGTTGCCCATATCATCTGTCTTAATAGCACCAATGGTGAGACTACATAGTGATGGTTAAGGTGAACATCTCGTGTGTATCTGTATATGGAATTGTAGCATTTTCTCAAAAAAGTGGCAGGGATGTTAGGCATAATGACTTTTGGGGTATGGGATGGCTTGCTGCCTTTCCTGACCACCCACAGATTATCCCTGTGTCCTTAGAACCTTTGAAGCTTGCGACAGGCATAGATTATAAGCATCAGGAGCTCACTTATTTTGTGAGCCTCTAGTAGAGCCTGGAGTCTGTGGGAAGATAGGAGGAGCCTGCAGAATGCAGTGCAGGCCTCAGAAGAGCAACTTTCATGGAGTAGCGGTGGTAGAAGGTTCATGGGTGCAGATAGAGGGCAGGAGCTGTCTGGAAGGAGTGGGGATCCTTCTTTAGCAATTGAGAAGAGGAGGAGGAGTTTGTACAGTTTTGAGATGGGGCAAGAGGAAAGCTACCTCGCTTTTGAGGAGGAGGGTGTCGCAAAAGAGGTATGTGTCGACTGACGCAGTGCTTACTGCTTGCCTTGTGTTTGTGCAGATGACAAAGAGGAACCTAGCAACCATGGGACTATCCTGGTTACCTGGTACGCTTTTTGCTGAGGATGGATTCAGATCCACAGTCCTCTGAACGATAAGTTGAGGGACTGATGTTTGGGAGAGGGATCTGGGCAGAGCCCAAGGTTGGGAATTGCAGGGAGGAGTTTTAAAGTCAATATATGGGAGAAGTGTGTCCAGGATCAGTGCACTTTGGGCAGCTGAAGCAGGGGTGGAAGGGGTTCCTTTTCAGCACAAGCCTAGCACATGTCAGGCAGCACAGTTCCAGCCCGTGTCTGTTGTCGTGTAGTTTGTGTCGTCTGTCTTGTGTGTCTTTAGACCATTCTTGGGTCTCAACGTCCTCGTGGCTCTTTGTGCTCAAGGAGCACAGTAGGTGCCTCGTACATCTTCCCTAGGGACTGGAACACCTGTCCTCATCGGCACAGTGCCAACTGGGCAGTTCTTGTTTTTGCTTTACTAGCCTAAAGCGTGGCTAGGTCTCAGAAGTCTCCAGTCAGGCTGCTGTTTCAGTGTCATTCTGGGCTGCGTTAGCATCTGTGATGTACAGTGATCCATTTTCCCAAATATCTTTTCCGGGAGTTCTTCCTGGCATCTTGACGTTCTTAGGTCTTGAAGCAAGGTTACTTGCACATGCCTTATCCCTGTGGAGGCTATAAGGTTTTCTCTCAGGCCACAACACTTGACTCTTCTCGGCCTGCCGTCCATTCTTCCTCATGGCCCCATAGGTCTTCTTGTCCGAGAGCATCTTTGATCTGAGTCTTTCCTCTTAAAGAGCTTATTTTATGTCTCTCGTCTTGTTTGTGTGCCGTGTCGGTCTGTGCATGTTTGTCTCTGTCGGAGCTGCTCTGCCTGGGTGCGTAGAGGTGACAGTCAGCCAAAGAAGTACAGTAAGGTTCTATGTGAATAAGCCTAGACTTTGTAGGGAAAGGGTGTACCGTCCATTTCAGAGCAACTAATTATGTAGCCAACAGGCAAGGAGAGTTCTTTCTGTAGCGCTACGCAGACACGCAGGGGATGAGCAGAGTTTTATTGACAGCAGGCTGTAGAGAGAATTGGGATGGTATACCTCAATGAAAATGGGATCTCTGGAACTGTTAAGCTATTGCTCCGCATCCAGGCGACTCACTCAATATCTCTTTTGCAGATGAAGAGGGACAACTCGCTCACCTAACGGCAACAGAGGAGGCAAACGGAGCAGTTTAAGAAGGTAGGTTGGTGTGGAGCGTCGGGGGAAGATGGGACCGGTGGCTATATGACTAGCCGATCAGTGCATTTTACTTGGAAGGTGCAAAGTGTCGAGCAAAGAGAGGTATCGGCACCGGAGGGGGTGTGGGCGAGGAGAGCCGTGACTAGCGGGCTGAAGCAGCAGTTAATTTTCAGGTGTCTTATCAGTGAAGGTAGAAGCACGCCTTGTTGTTTGTCTTGTGAGCAGTACCCAAGCCTCAACGTGACAACCTGTAAACAGTAGAGGCGGAGCGGGTGAGCACGTAAACGAAGGGAGAGGGAGACAGTTATCGGTATGTGTGGGGTGCAGTTTGGGGCAGCATCTTGGCAAGTGCTGCTACTTTGTTTTTTTGAAGGTGACACACGTAGCCTTGGAAGGGTGAAGGAGCGTGCCGATGAGCAATCTGAGAAGGTGAGGCGGTTGTCAGCCAGGTCCGAGTCTAATAGCACAGTCTTATATGGCCACTCGGTTAAGCATTTACCTGGGTATTGCAGGTGCCAAGTGAGCCACCTTTGGGATCATCTGAGCATCCGAAAGCAGCCGGGGTAGTAGCGAGGACAAGCACAAGGTCGGTGACTTCTCACAAGCTCAATGGTAACTTTGTCTCTTGGTAAGTTAGGTACCGCAAGAGGCAATGGCTGCAGCATCTGACTCCAGAATGAACAGGTGAGCGGAACACCGCAATGCTTCTGAGGATGGGGGGGGGTGTTGCGGAAGAGGTAAGCGGGGAGCAGCGTGATACTGACCAGCAGTTGTGCTCTTCTGTGCTTTTTTGCAGGCAGTAAAGGAATCTGGCCACTGCAGGAACATGCTAGTTAGCTGCTGTGCTGCTTTTTTCGAAGGTGGATTCAGACCTCCGGCCCTCTGAAAGCTAAGTCGATGGAACGGGGTTGAGTGGAGGGACGAGGTTGGCAATCTCAGGTAGGTATCTGAAAGTTAGTGTAGGAGAGAGGCCTGTGTGGGAGCAGCGCCCTTCGGTCCGGTAAAGGTAGCAGGTTACTTCTCCCCTCGATGTTAGCATGTCCCGGGCAGGGCAGTTCCAGCCCATGTGTGTCATCGTGCAGTTTGTTTCTTCTGTGTCTTTGGTCTTCCTCAGGTCTCGAAATCCTCACATCTCTTTGTGCTCAAGGAGCACGGCACGTGCCTGGGGCGCCATCCCTAGGGTATCGAACGCCCATCTTCATCGGCACGCTGCCGATCGGGTGCTTTTTTATTCTTGCGTTATCAGCTTAAAGCGTGGGTAGGTCTTGGAAGTTTCCAGTCGGGAGTCTTTTGCGCAGCATCGTCGCAGGCTCTGGCGTCAGCCCTGCTATTTAGGCATCCGTTGTTCCTGCCGGTGACTTCTTTCCCGTATCCTGATGTTCTTAGGTCTTGAAGCCCATCTTCTTGCGTACCCATCGTCTCCGTTTTGACGGTAGCTTCTCGTAAGGGGCCGTTCCACTTCCTGCTTCTTGTAGGCTGCCATATAGCCTCCTCACGTCACCATCGTGGCCCTCCGAGTCTTCTCGCCTTATGGCATACCCTTCTGGGTGTCCTTATCGCTTAGCGTTTAGTCATCTTTGAATCGTGTCATTTGTAGTATTTTGTGTGTGTCTGTGTGGCTTGGAGCTGCTCTGCCCGGGGGTGTGGAGTCAGGGCTAGGTGGAATAGAGTTCACGGGTATACTGTATGGGTTTGTTTTAAATAAGAAAACAACTTCTCCAACTGGGCGACATCTTTGTCTCCCCGGTGGGGTTTATTTTCACCCAGTCGCAGATGCTCTCTGAGGGTGACTGTCACAGTCAGCGTCTGGGTGAAGGTCAGGTTTGGGCCAGGATTTCCTCAGGCTAGGCACTCGAGTCCACCAGGAACAGTGTTCAGGGGGTGAATGCCTGTCGTGACAGTTGGGCGGAAGGATGGGCCGGTGGAGAGTGGGGGTTGGTTTTGGCGGTAGGTGGAATAGCGGCATGTTTAGAATGTGTCTAGCTGTGTATGATTATTTGTCGTCTTTTTTCTTCCAGGTTGTAGGTGGGGCTCAGTTTGACTACGTAGACTGGATTTAATGAAAACCTCTGTCAGGGGAATAAACTTCTGTTTTTCCTGTCTCCTGGCTGGGTAGTTTTTCCCTGGTCCCGGCCGGTGTGCAATGCAAGGATTGTTATCTAGATTTGGGTACAGGTCAGGCTCAGGCTGGAGTTTTTTCAGGTAGGATGATTTTTGAGGCCCCCATACCTGGTGTTTCTGAGGAGCATGGAGGGTGATGGCTTGTGGCGGTTTTGGTGGTAGGGTGGCCGCGGGGAGAGCGGGTGGTGGTTTGAGTGGTAGCTGGCTGTGTGGTGTTTAAAATGTGTGTAGCAGTGCCTGAATGGTTGATGTTTTGTTTTTTCCTTACAGGCTGTAGGTTGTGTAGCTTTCTTTAGAGGCAGTAAAAAAACTTTTTCTTTTCCTGTCCCCTGGCTGGGTTTCTTTCCTCCGTCCTGGCCGGTCTGCGAGGCGACTGTTGTCGCCTATGTTTGGGCGCATGTCTGTCTCAGGCTGGGGTTTTTAAGGCAGTGAAACGAAAAAGGGCCAAACAATAGGCCTCAAACCAAGGTTGACTTCAGAGTGAATCCCTCGACCAGCAACCAGCATCTTATCAGCAGCATGAAGCAACCAGCATCTTATCAGTGTGAAAATGCAACCCTGGGAACAATCCCTGGGAACAATAGGTAAACAACAGGTAGTAACTATAAATCCCAAATGTACAGAAAACCAGAAACTCCTCAGACATGCCTGGATCCTGGCCAGATCTGGACATGCCTGAGTGAGGCATATCAACCTACCAGATATCTCCTGTGCATTTTGTATAGACTTGTTTGTTAAACTGTATAAAAGCCGGACCCTCTCGCAGCAAAGACGGAGACCTCACCTACGAGTGGACGCACTGCGTGGGACTTCCCAATTGCCGGGAAAGGCTCTCCGATCCTTTGCTGTGACGGGGCTCCCCAGCTGATGCACGGATCTGGATGATGGTAAAGTATGAGGGCAATTGGTGATGTATCCTTCTTAATCACTAGAGCTAGCTTTATGTAGTAATGACTAGGTGCATTACCTTGCTTATTCTTTCTGCTGCTTTAAACTAAATTAAAACAAGCCTATTTCTTTAGCTTGGTATCTGTGTCCTTTGTGTTAACCGCGTCAATTGGCAAAACAGGCAGGCAGAAATTTTTTTGTGCGGCCTCCCCAGGAACAGCCGGTTGTGTTTTCTCCTGTTTGTTTTTTCTTGCCGGTGAAGAGGAAGGCGGCAACTGCAGGAAGGTGCTAGTTATCTGCTGTGCTGCTTTTGTCGAGGATGGAATCGGACCTCCGGCCCTCTGAAAGCTAAGTTGAGGGAATGGGGCCGAGAGGAGGGGCCGAGGTTGGGAATTGCAGGGAAGTGTTTGAAAGTTAGCACGGGGGAGAAGGCTGTACAGGAGCAGGGCCCTACAGTCAGGTAAAGGGAACGGATTACTCTTTCCCTCGATGTTAGCGTGTCCCGGGCAGGGCAGTTCCCGCCTCTGCGTGTGTCATCGTGTGGTTTGTTTCTTCTGTCTGCCGTGTCTTTGCCCTTCCTCGGCTCTAAATGTCCTCACTTCTCTTTGGGCTCGAGGAGCACGGCACGCGTCTCAGGGGCCATCCCTAGGGTATCGAACGCCCATCTTCATCGGCACGCTGCCGATCGGGTGCTTTTTTTATTCTTGCGTTATGAGCTTAAAGCGTGGGTAGGTCTTGGAAGTTTCCGGTCGGGAGTCTTTTGCGCAGCATCGTCGCCGGCTGCGGCATCAGCTCTGCTCCTTAGGCATCCATTTTCACGGACTGCGACGTCTCCCCTGCATCCCTCCATCCTAGGATTCGGACTCCTACTTCTCATCCACCGTCTCGGTTTTGACGGTAGCTTCTTATAACAGGCCATAACGAGTGACTCTCTCTGGGGCTGCCGTATAGCCTCCTCGCCTCCCGGTTGTGGCCCTCTAGGTCTTCTCGCCTGACATGGTATCTTGTCTGAGAGTCCTTATCGCTTAGAGTTTATCTTGGAATCAAACCTTTTGTAGCGTTTAGCATTAGTGTATGCGTGTGCCTCTTTGGCTCAGAGCTGCCCTGCCTGGGGGGTGTAGAGTCAGGAGTAAGTAGAACAGCAGTAGAAGTCAACGGTTTAAATGCTGATACGCTTAGACCGCCTAGGCGACAGACGTACGGTCACCTCGTAGTAGCCATCCACAGGCTGTGCGGACGGTCATTTCTAGGGCGTCTTATGGAGACTGTTTGAGCGGTGTGGGAGCGGCAGTCCAGCAGTAGCAAATGAGATGGAATCTCAAAGGTGTTAAGGCTCGCAGGTGTGGGAGCGTACTCTCTGGGGGGAGGCATGTGGTTTTCTTTTTAACAACAGGCTGTAGTTGGATGCCAGCTAGTATCCCTACCTGGAAGTGACACCTCCGGATTTGTTAAGCATCCGGGTGACTCGCATAACTGTTTTGACATGCAGATGGATGAGATGCGCACCAAAGAGTGCCGGAGGAGGTGAGCGGAGGGCTGTGAGAAGGTGGGTCACTGAGCGGTGCGGGAGGGAAGATGGCACCGGTGCTATCTGAGGGGATGATAGCGGTGTGTGGTGTGTTTTGTGGTGTTTTTTGTTTGTTTGTTTGTGTTTTTTAGATGGAGAGCCACAAGCAAAGTAGGATTTTGGCACCGGAGGCAGCTTGGGCAAGGTGAGCCACCACTAGGGGGGTTAAAGTAGCAGTTCTTATTTCAGGCATCAAATTGTCGGTGAAAGTAGAAGCATCCCTTGTGGTCCGTGTGTTACAGGTGGCAGACGAGCCTTGACGTGACAACTGGAAACAGCAGCGGCAGGGCAGGTGAAGGGCCGAGGTAAGGGAGTGGGAGATGGGAATCGTTGCGGGCACACCCCAGTTTCAGGCGGTAACTCGGCACGTGTCTTTTCCTTGAGTTTTTTGCAGGTGCCGCGGAGGGGCCGAGCCACACGCAGACCGACAGTCTGAGAAGGTGAGGCAGTTGTCAGCCAGGTCGGTGTCTAATACGGAAGTATCGTATGACCGCTCCATTAAGCGCTCGCCTTGGTTTTGCAGGTGCTTTGGGAGCCGCCTTCGGGATCGGATGAGCGTTTGAAGCGAGCCGGGGCAGTCGCAAGGAGGATCGTGGGGTACTTGTTAGAAGCGTGTTGGAGAATGGCTCAGAGACAAGGGTGCTGAGCCCACCGAGCAATTGTATGATCAGAGCCTGCTCTAGCTGCTGATGCTGGGCCTCACTAGGGTTTGCCTGCAGCTGCTCGCAGCTGCTGATACATGAGGAATGTCAAGGATGCTTCAGCCCTGTGTACCGTGGTGTGTCGAAAACAGGTTAAGGGGAATTAGGAATAGTGGTCTGAGAAACCCAGTGTTATGATAACGGTGGTCTGAGAAACATTGTGTTACGGTACTGTCGTGTATCGAAAACAAGTCAACAGGAATCAGAAATAGTAGCATGAGAAACTTAGTGTTATGAGAAGCTTGTGCTGTAAGCTAACTGCAAGTAGGTGGACTGTGCGAATACGACCTTTAGAGCTTAAGCCAATCAGCTAGTGACTAGTAGGAATAATAATTATCATTGTCTGTATAAATATATGTACACTGGACCAATAAAGACACGTTGATTGATGCTCTATCTCCCACACTGAACCCATCTCGGCATGTCGTTCGTCCGCGGCTCCGCAAGATGTCGCCCGAACAGGGACCTGCATGGAAGAATAACACAGACGCAGCGGCGGACCCGGAGAAAACAGCAACGACCGAGGAAGTCGAGAACGGACCCGGAGAAACACCAAATACAGCAGCGTCCAGGGTCCACGAGCTGAGACGGAGAGGCGCCGGCCCCGGCAGCCCCAGGAGAGTACGCGAAGCTGGCTGGACTGGCCCTGAGAGCGAAGGCGGAGCAGCCCTGGAGAGTGGAGGCGGACCGGCCCAGAGACCGGAATGAGTGGTCCCGCGAGTGGCAGCGGAAAGGCACCGGAACTGACGTGGTAAGGAGCCGACTGCGGCAGCCATGGGAGCGGACGTGAAGGGACGCCACAGGCGGACGCTGAGCGGCCCCAGGGGTGGACGTAAAGGGACGCTATAGGCGAATGCTGAGCGGCCCCGGGGGCGGACGCGAGGGGGCGCTGGAGGCGACCGCAGGGTGGCCCCGGAAGTGGAAGTGGGGAGGCACCGGAACTGACGCAGAGGGGCGATGGAAGCTGACGCGGAAAGGCGCTGCATACAGCGGTGGCAGAAAGAAACGCGGGGAAACATCAGATACAGCAGCGCCTAGCCGAATCAAGAACGATCGGACAGTGGGCCTCTGACGGGTCGTTCCGAGGACCTGAACCGAGATAGAAGGTTGCTCTCCACAAGGGCTGCTGGCAAGAGCTGCAACTGGTGCCTTAGTGACGGAGCATCAGCAACATATCAAAGTAAGGGGGTAATTTTTTAGTGCCTTAAACAGGGAGCACAAGCTGGCGGGAGTATTTTTAGTGCCTTAAACAGGGAGCACAGGCCAGCGGGAGTATTTTTTAGTGCCTTAAACAGGGAGCGCAAGCCGGCGGGAGTATTTTTAGTGCCTTAAACAGGGAGCACAGGCCGGCGGGAGTATTTTTTTTTGCCTTAAGCAGGGAGCAAAGGGCCGACGGTGCCTTAATCAGGGGTGGGTCGGCAGTAACGGTACTGTGCCTTATCCAGGGAGCACAGGACCGGAGGTGCCTTAACCAAGGAGCACCAGGTTGATGAGATGGAACAAGAGGTAGCCCTGGATTTAGAAAAGCGGGGAGTGGATTGTATAAAATCACTCACGGGTTTAGTAGCATTAGGACAAAGGATGTTTTCAGGACCCTAATTCTCTTTTTGATGTCGACGAGTGGAGACGATTAGGTGATATTTTATGGGATATGGTAATTGATGACGATAAAGCTGCAAGGAGAACGATGAAACCATGGTGGGAGGTGGTGAATAATATTAATTGGTATCAGCTTGAAAAGAACCTTGCAGCTGTAGCAACTACAAAGTTGGGGGGGGAAAGTTCCACTGTTACCCCAGATAGTGCGGCATCCGGATCTATGCTCTTTGACAGTGATCGTATTCCTGTACCATCAACAGGAGGGCCAGTTACAGTTAATGTGAATAGGGAAAGTCCGGAGGCCAGCCCCCCCCCAGTATCTTTACAGTCATGCTCCCCCCCACCCCCCCTGACCTTGGAAAAAGAGGGGGGGATGGAAGATGGCCGCCCAGTGCAATCTGCTACAGCGAAAGCACAGGGCTGGATATGTCATGTTGACTGGCGAAATGTCATGCGTGAGGCGGCAGAGGATAAGCAATATGACGTTGTTGATATCCTCTCTGAGAATCTGGCATTTCCAGTCCGGTTTGACTTGGCTGGAAATGGAGCTGCTTATGGGACCTATACTCCACTGAATTGGAAAATGCTTTCCCAGCTGCGCAGTACTGTCAATGAATCAGGGTTACATGGTGAACCCACAAAGCAGTTATTAAATTATGTATGGGGGGGAACCATTTTGTGTCAGGAAGATATTAAGATTCTTATGAAAATGATTATGACCCAATCTCAGTTGTTACTATGGCAAGCCCACTGGCAACGACTCTGTGAAATAGCAGCTCATCAACCCAGACACCAAAATGACCCACTGTTTGGGGTAACTGTGGAACAGCTAATGGGAGTGGGCCGATATATTACCATAGATGCTCGAATACAGCAA